GGCTGGAGTCCTGGGAAAGTGAATGATGTCATTTAACCAGGTCTCAGATCTGAGGGGAACTACTGATGTAAATCACAGTTCTAGAACAGGGGAAGATGACATGAGCTTTATCTGCTCAGGCAGTGAGGAAGGGAGAAGGAAAGGTGGAGAGTTCTCCTTTTTCTACCTTTTGCGCTGGTCAGGACTTCAAGATCATATAGTGCCCAACCACTCTGCATGGAGCAGTCTACTTAACTGATCCTGTGGATTCAAAGGTTAATGGCATCCAGAAACCCCCTCAGAGACACACCCCAAAGCAATGCTTTTGCTGGCATCTCCACCTGTGTGGTTCCTCACAAGCACTATGTGAGCAGGGCTCCCTGGTCGTCCTTCCTAGCATAGCTCTCTTCTCACTTTGTTACCAACCTGAAACCTACTCTTCCTCTCCTTAATCCCTGTATCACACAAAGTTGTTCCAAGCTAGAAAATGCAGTCATTGTGAGCTGACTCCTTTTTTCTCCCCTTCCACAAATAGCTAGCTCAAAATAGTCCTTGAAAATATATCCACTTCCTTCCCTATAAACAACTTTCATCTGTGTTGTTACAACGTCCTTCTACTTGGATTCCTGCCATCATTCTGTTTCATGATGCCAGCCGGTCTTAAGCATAGTGACTAGCCATTTGGGTCACCAAGACAACTCATTTCCTTAGCACCCATGGGGTCCTGGGCTAACCAGAAAGAGATCCAGTCTGACCCATGTGAGGATCCTAGTTCTGTGTCTTGGCTGTGCTGGATTGTAGGGGCGAAGGAATGGCTCACACTCAGTTTATACAAATTAAAACCCTCTTCTGGCAGTGAAGATGTGCCTAGGTTCAGAGCTCTCCCACCCCCAGGGCCAGCCTACCTCCTGTGATAAGCGATAGACAACATATAAGAAGGAGGGAGCCTGGTGGTCTTGCCTTTGCTGCTAAATTGAAACGTACCCTTGGCAACCTCACCAGTAACCTCATCTCATGGACTCTTAGCATTGTCAGATTATATAGCACCCAGATCTGTGTTCCCTGGGTCTTGACATTAAGGGTATTATTTTGGAAAATATCTTCTCTTAAGTTGATTAGAGGAAAGTATGAATTTACTTAAGTATTTCACATCAAATAGGGAATGCACTTGTTGTTAGCTAAAAGGCCGAGAAGCAATTCAAATAGGGAATAAAGAAAAGTGGCATGTGCTAAAATGAAGGGAAAGATAGATGGTCATAGATTAGTATCAGTTTAAGAAGGCCAAGTGGTGAGAAATTACAATACTATCTAACATGGAAACCACAGGGTTGAAGAACACAGCTAGAGAAAGTTATAGCTTCATACCCTTGCACCTGTACTCTATTTTAGGTCTTAAGCATTAAAGTCAGCATGACTTAACTTCTGTGTTTCTTGGCTCTCATTTGCTCATTAGCATTCAAACTCCTCCCACTCGGTTGGTACGATTTCCTCCTGACTCTCCGGGCATTATGGCTGACTCTGGGCTATCAAAGACTTCATAGTGACCTACCATTGGGTGTTGTTTACAGTCCAGTTTGTGGATTCTGTGTGTGTCGATTCACTTATTTGCTGAAGTTTATTTGTAATCCCCAAATCAATGTTAGTGCCCTTATGGTCATTTGTGGCCATTCACAGAGTGTCACAAAATTGGAGTCACCCACATTCACATTCCTGGTTGAAGCTGAACAATGGGACGGTATACTTCCTGTTTCAGCTCCCACACTGTAAACACATGTCCTTTTCACTGTCTGTTTAGTATCATAGTTTGTGATAATGTGCTGTCTGCTGTTCCTAAGTACAAGAAGTCTAGGCTCTGCTTTACAGATAAAATATGTGCGGTACACGAGCTTTATTCAGGCCAGAGTGAGAACACTGTTGGCCAAGAGTTCAAGTTAATAAATCAATAATGTGGCACATTCAGAAAAAGGAAGAAGAAATTTACAGTGTTGTAAGTAATGCTGCTCCAGAAAGTGAAGTCACATTTACAGGGGGTTATGAAATTATGGAAAAGATAGAAAAGCAACTAAATTTGTGGATTCATGAGATGACAAAACTGTTTTGTCAAAAGTGTATTAAAAAGAGTATAAAATTTACAATGACATTATCCAGGGTAAGGAAAGTATTAAACCTTTCTTGACTAGTGTTTTCTTATAAAGAAATACTGCTGGTAATTAATTTACAAGACAATTAAGTAATGTGTCTTTGTACAGAAACACAACAAAAGAAAGTTATGCATGGCTTGACAAAAGTTGTGATCAGAGACTGATAGGAACTTAATATTGCATTTCCCTTGGGAACAGTTGGTCAGGATTTACGAGTGCAGGGTTTGCAGAGACGTTATAGAACAGAACTACCATGAACAATAAGTAGCTGTATATGATTGTTTCTACTTTACACCATGTCTCCTTTATATTAGCGCCTTTGCCTGCCAGTGCTCCACTTGTGTTCAGTGTTGAGTAAATGTGTGCTTGAATACATGTTTATGTGGGCCTTCTGGCCTCACAGTACAATACTGAAAGTCTAGCTTGTGTCTCTTAACAAATAGGATGTTTGCTAGGAGTTATGAGGTGGCCTGGTGGGTGAATTATCAGAGTGGAAGTACACGCAGGAAGTACAGATTTAGGAAAATCTGTAAAGGATGTAAGAAAAGGCACAAGTTGCACATTAGCTGTTTTTGCTGCTGTACAGTGCTACAATGCCAACTGTTATCTACTTGTGTGCAGTCAGCGTACAGTGATTTTGCTTTTATAACATTGTGTGGCTCTGTACTTGTCTAGAATCTTTTTTTTAAAAAATCTCTTTAACATATTTTCTTGAGAAAATGACTGCTTTTTCCATGACCACATATTAAAAGACCAGTTTCATTTCTAATAATTTCATAAAGAAGAGTTAAGTTTGAATTCACATAGTCCACCCTTTCAGGAAAAATATCTGTAGCCCCTGGTTGGTAGAATGATCACCACATTCTCTTTGACATAGAAGAAAAGGGGCCACTGAATTCCTCCTTCGCCTGTGAAAGCAAAACATTCAAGCAATAGAAGGTGTGTATGAGGTGAGCCGACAGTGGGGCTGGGGCCATTTTTATGGGATTGTATGGTCGTTGGGGCTGCTGTGACTTTGGAAACCAATAGCTGAGAACATTTTAGGGAACCTGCTTATTTACCTAAGAGGTGTCCCTGTTGTCTTGCACCCTAGAGGGTACAAATACAAGGACAGAAATTCAGTCATCTGTGGCTACTCTGCAATGGTTTTGTGCATAGTTATTTACCAAGTCTCTATTTCTTGTTCACTCGACGAAAATAAAATGTAGCTGAAGAGTTCACTAGACATTTAATAATACTATAAATGTGTTTTTATAACTTTTCAGATTTAAAAACAACGAAGTATACTTAGAATTACTATCAATCACTTTAATACCTTAGGCTGAGTTTGGTTAATATCTAATATGCTGCTAGTGATTGTCTGTGCAGTCTTGTATTCTGGAGAGGACACTGACAGCATTGATAGTACCAAGGATTCAAACTATAGCACACTCTCTTTGGGAGAAATCCTCATCATAAAGCAGATTTTCCATTTTTAGAAAAAGCATGAAAATAAACATGTATTTTATCGAAAATAGGAAATATTTAATATATATAAATTTATTTACCTTGGCAATTACTTATTTACAATTGATGATTGATACCAACAATTGAGGTAAAAATATACATGAGGTATAATATTTAAATGGAATATCATATTTTATTTCCATTGGCAAGATAACAAGATAACTATGGTATCTGACAAATAAGCTTGATGCATCTTTTCTTTTGTTTCTCCCTTTCCTTTATTTTGAAGAGGCACCATGTTGTTATGCAGCAGTGATGTGATTAGTACATGCATAAAATCAAAGTCAGGTAATTGAAAGAGAGGGGAGTCCGAAATATAGTCATGTTTGTCTTTATTCTGTTTTAAGTGTCCTCAGGGTCTTTCTCAGTGTGTCCTTGTGGCTAGCAGCATGGGCATCCCTGAGGCTTATGAGAAATTCAGGTGTCAGGCCCACCCTGGATAACCTGAATCAGAGTGTGCATTTTAACTGGATTCCCAGGGGACTCCTAGTGTGCAGACTGAGGTTGGAGGAGCCTGCACTGTGTGATACAGTGCCATTCGTCCTCGTGTGCCTATTCTACTTTTTAAACACATCATGTCTCATCTCTGGAGTGGGACCAGTGTTTAGCTAGATTAAACTTCAGTAATCATCATGTCAATGCGTGACAAGTAATCCAGCATATATGGTTAAATTTAATGGCAGAATGAATTTCTGGTTGGAGTCCAAATGGCAAACTGTGGCTTTGCTGCTGCCTTCTTAGGTAGACGTGGGAATGAAAAATTCCTAGTATGATTTTTTGTGCACCATACTAAACTCAGATAACATATTCCTTTCAACAAGACAATTGCACTTTGCTGATAAGAGAAAACATTACATAAATGCATACTATATAAAAAGAATGAAAACAGTCAGTTGTTTTACTTTTTTTCTTCCAATGCCAGTTGCTAAACCATGGACAGTCAAAGAAAATTTCTATCTTTAAATCCAAGCACAGTAAGTTTTTTTCTCTCTACAGCCCTTGATTTACAATAAAAAACCAACTTAAATCCATTCAGTTTTTCTGTACAATAATAAATAAGGTGGGGTCAAATGCATAGGTAGCTAATAAGAAACACATAGAATTAGTATATCTGTTTATATGTTCTGCAACTAATGAAAGAATATAGTTTTGGTCTTGTGTCAGTTAAAAATCCTGTCTTTCAGACTGTAAGGTTTTAACGAATTATATTTTAAGAGCATCATATATGGCACAAAAAATTCCCTGAAGCTACTACAATGGTCCAAGATTATTATAGGACCATCATTTCTCTTGGTCTGGTTTGAATTCAAATTCAGTGCAATACATTGGAAAGAAAAAGCCAATTATCTGTGACCACATAGGCCACTGGTCATATAGAAGAACATCTAATAATATTATTATATAAAGTAGGTATGAAAACTTGAGCTAACACAGAGGCTCCCTGTGGCTGTAAATATGAAAAGGTTCTTATACTCAGCCCTACTTGGGAGAAATTGGTTCTGTTTCAGTCACCATTGTTGACTTTAGCAGTCCATCTAACATCTCACTGAGACTGCATTTGCAGGACCTGATGGCAACTTGTAATCAAGCTTTAAATTTGGCAGTAACTTCTCACCCACTGCTTTGCTTTAAAGAGGAGTGAACATTCTTTCCCTTGTGTTTCCCCAACATTCTACTCTTAAGGTTTCTGGACAGCAGAACAAACTGTTAAAATGCATAAGAACCTTTTAATGCTACTTTGCTTTGGTTAGCTAGTCTTTGGTTGGACATTAGGACAGATGGACAGACTATGTTCACACCTTGGTGTTAGCAAGAGGCTCTTCTCAGATTATGGGGCAGTGGAGAGATGGGATCCAAAACATCTTGGGAAAAGCTCTGTGAGGAAGAGACTCACTGAGTCAGACACTCAATTATTTATAAAATTGATACTTTACAAATATACAGTAAAGATAGATATACACATGTATACATACATTTATTTACAGTTAATAATATGCTTCTTAGAAGCCTTTAAATAGCAAATTAGGCAATGCACAGGAATAATCTATTTAATTTTAAGTAATATAGATAAATGTTCTGGTTTTTTAAAATATTATATTAGTAGGGATGCAGCCGTCTCCAGGATGGCTAGAAAAGTTTTCAGAAAATTCTTGCATCGTCAACATTTCAACTTCTCAGTGTTTCCATTTTTAAGCATTAGTCTCATCCATTAGTGACTCTCTCTCTTGCTTTCTCACATGCATACTCTCTGCCACAGTGTTTGTTTCAGCTTCCTGTTCCCTGAGTTTGATGCCATACTTCAAAAAACTCAGATTTTAGTTTCTGGACCCTCAGCGATGAGGGGTTGGAAAGAGTTTCTAATCCTGGCAACTTCTGCTGCACAAAGATGTCCAAAGCCTTTGCTGTACCATTCTGGGGAATGACCCCTGCAACAAAAGAAATCAAGAAAGGAGTGGGTAAATCTTTTTATAGACCACAGCAATTTGTCAGAGTAGACAGAACTGTCCCTGGGCACTGGTCAATAGCATAACTGCAAACAATTTGGGGCTGCAGCCTGAAAGATTTGAGAATCTCATTCTGTCAACAGGTGTCTTGGCTGCTCAGCGTTCAGTCAGTCTTTTCAGGATTCTTCAGGTGTTTTTAAAGTAATACTAACTTCCCACAATAAAATGGGAAGATTCACAATGAACCTAAATTTTATGGAGAATTCTAAATTTACATCTACCAAGATAAAGAACTTGGTTTAGCATCGTGAAGGCCTAAAGAGGCTGGGTTTAAATTAGTTTCTCCTAAAACCGAAACAAAAACACAACATACACAGGGAACAGCAAAACATATTATTAACCTGTGTCCAATGGTGGATGAATGGATAAAGAAAACATGGCAGTGGAATACCACTTGATCTAAAAAAACCCAAACAAACCAAACCAAACCAAACCAAACAGCTATCCTGTCATTTGTGATAATATGGACGAATCTGGAGGACAAGAAATAAGCCAGCACGGAATGACAGACACCGCATGTTCCCACTTATATGTGGAGCCTAAAAATGTGGAACTCAGCCAAGCAGAGGGTAGAATGGTGGTTACCAGGGCCTGAGGCATGATGGACACCAGGGAGACAGATGTTATTCAAAGGATACAACATTCCAGTTAGACTGGAGTAATAAGCTCAAGAGAGGTATAGTGCAACATGGTGACTTTAATGAAATATAATGAATAGTTGGGCTGGGGGATTTAGCTCAGTGGTGCCTAACGTCTGCCTTGCCAGCCCAAGGTCCTGAGTTGGATCCCCAGTGCCAAAAAAAAAAAAAAATTGTATTCTTATATTTTAAATATTCTCAGCACAAAAAATAAGTATATGAGATATCGGACATGCTAATAGCGTGCTGTGGGGATTCCACAATGTACACACATATCAACACATCACATAAACATATACATTTTTTGCTTTTCAAGAAAAATGAATAAATTAATTAGAGAAAAGAAAATAAAGAAGAGCAGAGGGCTGAATTTTAGGAAAGTGGGGTGGGGGGAGGGAGAGAAAGGGAAGAGAGAGAGAGACAGAGAATATCCCTTATGAAAACCTGTTAATAGCAGTGAAGAAAAAAGTACAGGAAAATAAGAAATCAAGATGACAGACACTGTGCTGATGGATGTGAAAGGGACCTGTGCTCTTCATGCTCAGAGCTGCCACTTACTTCAGGTCTATCCTGCAGATGTGGGTCAGTCTGGACTTGCCCGAGCCACACGGTTCTATCAGGTACTGAGAATCCATTACCACCGCCCTCACGCCACCCATGAGCTGGGCTTCCTCGTGCTCCACAGAGAGGGACACCAGGGTGCACATTCCTTTGGGCAAGTCGGTCTTCCAAGTCCTGGGGCAAAACAAGCCATGCAAGAGTGTAACAGCCAACAGAGAAAGAAAAACCTGAACACAGAGCTGAGATTCACACTTAGTTTTCCTGCCAAAATCTTGGACTCAATTTCCAATGCTGGTTACTTGGATTAGGCCAATGGTTTCCATAAGGAGGTGTAAAGTTTATACAGCACATTTCAAAGCAAGGATTGCAGCTGTCATACTCAGAGGTCAGAAATAATCTTGCAGCTTTCAGATCTGCATTTGGAACCCCAGACTGGGGGCCCAGTCCTACACTGCTCGGAAGTTCCTGTTCATTGTAGAAGTGACTTTATAGTTTAGGTATCAGGACTCATTCACATGCATAGTCCAGGCTCTGAGAAGCCACTAAGATTCAAAGATACCCAGCCCAGGGAGAGAAAGTGTCAATTCTACCAAGAACTCTAAAATCACTGTGGTTAAGTGCAGTGTAACAGTTATGCACAAAGGATCTCAAAGTTATGCCTGGGATCACACAGAATACAGGGAAAGAATACAGGGAAGGTCCTGAAGGAGGTGATTCAAGTCTTAATAAATAAATGATATGATAGTGCCCACTTTGAAGAAAGCTAAACCTAAGTAGACCTGCTAGTCATCTTCAGGTATCTCTTTAATAGAAGAAGCAAATATAGTTGATTTGACTCCAGAGATAGGACGGTACATTTCCTCACACTGTGAAGAGGTAAGTGTGTAAACTATACAAAAACAGAGTGAGCTGCCTTGGGAGGCACTGAGTTCCCTGATACTTTAGCTATTTGAGCACAGAGGGGCTATCACATGGGAAAAGGTAGTAGATGGAGTTAGGAACTATGAGGGCATTGCAGCATTGCAGCAAACATCTCGGACTCCCTCTTTGACCTGAGGGAATCATATATCATTCCCAGTATTCACTTCACAATACTGTTTCCTGGTTCAGTGGTCTTCTCTGTGACTCCCTCCTGTCATACCACATTAGAGAGAGAGAGACTACTATATACACCTAATGCTATGGTTTGAATGTGTCCCAAATTTTATGTGTTGGGAATGCGGTCCCCAATGCAGTCGTGCTGAAATTCACGTAAGTGTGAATCTCAGTTGGGACTATGAGTGATTACCTGGTCACGTGAGCTCTGCTGTAATGAACAGGTTAATCTGTTTATGAGTAATGAGCTACTGAGATAGTGACTTTGTCATAAAAGCACATTCTTTCTGGTAGGCTTGCTCTAACTTGCTATGTGATAACCTTTGCCATGCCATGACCTAGTAAAAAGGTGCTTGCCGGATACTAGTGCCATACTTTTGTACTTCCCTGCCTCCAGAATCATAAACTAAATACACTTCTATTCTTTCTAAATTATGTCTAAATTACAGATATTGTATTACAGCAGCAGAAAATGAACTAAGATACTCAGTGAGAACTTGGGACTAACAAATCCTGACAAATGCTCAGAAACTTCCCCTGGCTATGACCACTCTTTCCATGCATGGTGATGTGACAAATATGAACAGTGATGGCTTTAAAGATCCATGGGGTTAAAATGGGAAGATCTTCAGTAACTCCTATTTGAAGGTCCTGAGGGGCTGGATAAGTAAAAGGTAAATGTAATCCTAAAAGATAAGCAGCCTCGTGGCATCAGCCCTGATGGGGAGATGCTCAGGATGGCTCTCAGCCCTATGACTTCTTCGTCACAATGGTCACTTCCAGCTTCTTGTATTATGAATATGGGAATTCCTGTCAGCAGGATCAGGTCTGTCTGGTACATGGTCAGTTAATCCCCTTAAGTGTCAAGCCCCTTCACAGAGCCTTGTGGACCACCTACTTTTTCTTTCATGTCTTGCACTAAATGTCAGTGCAGTTAAGACTTTGCCCCAACCACTATATTTAAAATTCCACCCTTAATATGTCCCTATTTTACTTATTCTCCCAGAATAAGTAAGCTTATCTGTTTTTCTTTTTATTTAATAAAATCTCCTTGATAAAATACAAATCCCAAGAGATCAGAATCATGGTCTGTGCATTCACCAGGGAATCCCCCGAGCCTGTAACAGAGCCTGTCAAAAAAGTACGATGAAATGATATGCCAGCAAATAGCAGGCTGGCAGCGTTGCTGTACAGATAGAATGACAGGGGTCCCATGCAGAGACTCACTCCCTCTCAGCGTCCTCTAGAGAGAAAGAACAGGCACATTGCAGTAAGTGTCCATTTCTAGGCTGTCTTCCTTGCCAACTACTCAATTTTCTGCTTGTCAGAGTAATGTTGTGAAATTTAATTCCACAAGATGACTAATGTTCCAATAACTGTGGTAATAAGCTACTTTTATAACTGTCCACATTCTTCACCAGCATTCCAAGGTTGCTAGGATACATACATACATTTAGGATAAACAGACTGTTAAAAGTCAAGGTTCCAAGAACCAATACCAAAGGCATCAAAAGCCCATATGAAAAGTAACTTTTAATTTGCCATCAATGCAAGTTTCATAAAGAAACTATTTCAAATATACATTGGGAGATTTCACTATTAATTCCATTTACACTGCTGATCCATGGGAAGAAATGGGGTTTGCTTAGGTTTTTTAATAAAAAGGATATATTGATCTAATTACATTTTATTTAGGTTCTTTAATATCCTCAATTCCTGTTCTTTCTGATGAAATACTGCATTTCTACTGTGCAAGCTTTCTATTATTGGTTGATCATCCATTTCCAGCCTAGTGAGCAGAGGTCTGGAACTCAACCCATAAATCAAACAGAAACAATATTTCAATGGCAGACACAAGACTCAGGAAGCATTGCCAGGCCCTGAAATTAGATTGCATGTCCAGTGCCTCAGCATATTTGAACTTTCAGAGCTGTGCCAAGATTTCCACACATAGTAATTAGTTATACAGATGAGGTTTGAAGTTGCACACATGCCAATCTCAGAATTTCACAAAATGAAGACACACTTTCCTGGGGGAGAAAGGCAAAATCAAGGTAAAAGCCAATCGGATTCGATGTGCATAATTTGGCAGAAAGTGCAACTGGATCCACAGCAGCTATTGTAGGGCCTCTAGAACGTTCTAGGGAAATGAATGATATTTATGGTCCAATAAACTGTGTACTCCACAAGGAGAGGGGTCATGAGAGAGTCGGGCAGGCCTGAAAAGTGTGTGAAGCAGCGGGGAGTCAGGCAGGAGTCAGGTTTCAGGGAGCAAACAGAGTGCAAGCTGAGTGGTCCTGGTGGAGCACAGGTTGGGGTGGCAGGACACGGAGAAGTGCTTAAATCTGCAGCTTTCTTTCATTCTGCGTTTGAAACAGGACCATAAAGCCTGGCATCAGGCTTACCTGAGAACTACGAAGTCTCTGGAAGGATGGGGGGCCATGCTATTTAGCACGTACTGATAGATTTCGGTTTGTCTGTCCAGAGTTTCCACCACCTTCCACTGCACAAAGTCCTCATCCCATAAGTGGCGCTCTCTCAGCACACGGTTCAGCACTACTGCAGGGGGCGCCTCCACCTCCACAGCCGCCTTCCACAGCTTCAGTGGGTTTCCATCTCCTACCTTGGGACACACAGCAACAGAGGCTGAAAGAATGTAGTCATCCGAGTCCTGTCAATGCCTACCGGACTGTACCTGATATTTTTGAATATGTAAATTGAAGGTGGGATGCTGCACACCCTTTTAGCCCTTAATCTCTTTTAATCCTTAAATTTAAGAGAATAATAGGAATGAGTAAAATACTCATCACCAACACACATAGTGTGTACTGCGTACTGGGCATTGCTCTAATCCACTTATAAATGGCCCTATTTTGGACTGTGGCACTTTTTTGCAAATGTCCATCTTTGCAAATGAGAAAACAGGCACTGACTCGCCCAACTTTGCACAGCTAAAGAACAGAGCCAGGAGTGGGATCCGGAGATCTAGCTCCACAGTCTGGATGCTGATTAGATGGAGCAGGGCTCTTCAGCAGTGTCTAGATAGGGTCTTTGAATGGTACATGTACTTTAACTGTGGATAAGCAGCCATTTTGGAATTGAAAACAAATCCCTCATTGTCGTATGTGGCTTTGGGGGTTTTACCTTTTTGAAAGCAAGGTCTGTGTTGTTTGGGCTGGCGCATGTGACCCATCCTTTGAACTTCTCCTTGGCTTCTTTCTGGAGGCCTTGGACAAGATGCTCCAGGAAAGTGTGGAAAGTTGCTCCACTCTCCTCCAGCTGTGTCCCCAAGTCCTCCAGGGTTGGAACGTGTATTTCAGCTTCTACATATGAATTACGAGACTGGGCCACCATGTCATGTGGTACCTGAACCAAGAGATGCACAAAAGAGCTAAGGAAGTTCTGAGGTAAATAGTTAGAGGGAGCAAAGCCATTTTGCCAACAACCAGGGTCTGAGCAAAAGGCTGAGGGCTACAGGGATGGAGATGTTTTACTAAGTTCAGTGCCAAAGATGGGAGTAGGTTTCCTAAAGTTAGGAAATACAAATATGTTTCTGAGGCTATTTTTATTATTGGAAACATTTCAATGACTTCCTGTTCATTCTTTCCCATTTCCTTTTATTTTCCTTTTGATTTATTTTTATTTAGTGTGGCAAAATGTGGGATCAGAAAATGACTCAGTGTGAACAGACAACACACACAGACTTGTTAAAAGAAGCATCAAGTATGACTTAGAAATAGCTTTACCTTTTTAGCATACTTTTCCACTAACAAGTGCCAGTTTAGCACAGAATGTCTGCCAGAAGTCTTGTTCAGAAGTCTTGATAAGCTGTCATTGACTCTTTGTAGCAAGGATTACTTAGAATCACACACACACACACACATACACACACACACACACACAGATGTGGAGTCTAATCAAGTCCAAGGTACAGTCGAATACAGTACAACATAATCAGATGGCTGGCTTCCAACCTAGCAAAGGCACATGATGCAACTGTTTGCTTGGAAACCATCCTTGTGATGACCTCAAATGTCTTTAACTCTCAAGATTGTACAGGTAGCCTCTCACATTTCTTGGAGGCAAAGACGAGAGCTATAGAGTATATTACTGTCATCATAAAACCAGGAACAAACAGATATAAACCATAAATGTATCCACCATTCCCAGTGTCTTATCAGATTCCAAGAGCTACAAGGAAGGCAGGTTGAGCCTTTGTTTACCTCAAACAGCTTGCTGCATTCCATGATCATATGTGCAAGCCCCTGAGCTGCAGCCAGATTCTCATTGAGGTCCTTTTGATCTGGCTTCCCAGTGGCATATTTCTTCTGGATGACTCTGTAATTGAATGCAAGTAGGCTGAGAAGATCCCAAACCAAAGAGCTTTTCACAATGCCTAGCTCATCCCTTTTGTTTTCTGTGCCTTCCCAGATGCTATCCAGATTCCAGGCTTTCTTGTTTCCAAATGAAAAAAATGACAACGTATCTTAGATATTCTGAGGTAAGCTAACAGTCTGTCAGTTTACAATCAAAAGCCTTGGGAAAATACAAGGACAGAAGGAATTGTTGGTGGGGGAGAGATTAATCTATTTTTTTCCCGAAGTTTGAAGCCATTCAATTGCAAGCTCCTGTGCTTGGGTGTTAAATATAGCCTTTAAAAACTAAAGATTGTAAAAATACCACTTTGTGTACTTCTTCCCTCCTTCCAACTCACACTCACAAAACAAAACAAACTTTTCAGGCTTTCTGGATCACAACTGACATTCTCCACAGCTCCTTTGATAACTCTATAAACCTGTGTATCATGAATGAGGTTGCTTCTGAACATGATCTGATTATAAAACAAGAGCTAACAAATCTTTAAGTTGAAATCTAGCATGTGAAAGTTTTGTTTATTTTATTTTTAATGAACTGTAGGGGAGGCCCCGTTGAAGATTACTACCATTGCTGAGAAAAAACTCACCTTGGAGAGCTTTCTTTCTTCAATAAATTAAGATGAAAAAGGGAGGGAGCTAGACACACAGCTAGGTTCATGGGTGTCATCTGATTCTCATCCACCAAGTTGACAACATCATTTAGGAAACACAAAAGTGTCTGCAGGACCTCCCTGTTTTCATCCGCCAGCAGCAGGATGGCAGCCTGCACAGCCTGCAGCCGCTGCTCCTTGGGGACAACTGAGGGAACATGAGCACCAGTGGTTAGAGGGACAGCAACAGAAAGAGCCAGGGAGAGAGCGTATAAAGTCCACTGACACGGAGACACTCGAAGACATCAACAACAACGATGACGGCAGCCGACACACAGAAGTAATTGCTCAGGACTCACAGATAGTTGGAGACAAATCTGGAATTCAAGCCCCAACAATGAAACACCAGCACCAGCGATCTGAATGAGCTGGTGGTACTTTACTTTAGCCCTCCATTCATAGCTGCCCAATACCTCTTATACACCACTTCCAGATTCATGGATCAAAAAAAGCAGTTCTGATAAACTTCCCTTGTGGAGCACTCAGGGCTGATGCCAGGGAAGGGCAAGGCTACTTACTCAATACCCGTTCTCCCTTCCTTCTTCACTAAGAGAATGCGAATTCTGTGTAGCACTCATAGTATATGAGGGGCATGTGCTCAGGGAAATGAACTCTTCCAGATCTAAGGATGAACTACGGTGGCTTAAACCAAAATTGATAATCACATTCCTCTTCTCAATGACTAGTTTAGGGGACAAGATATAAACTGTTTCTGGCTGAGAAAACCAAGAAAAATGTTAGAAGCTTCTACAAGATTAATCTCCCTGATAAAAGGAGACATATTCCCAAAGAGAAGCCCTTTCTCATTCATCTTACATTTGAATGTGATTTGTGAATGTGTGATAATTATAAGTTGCAGCACCGGGCCTGGCAAATGCAAAGTCTTGAGTTTGATTCCTGATACTAGAAAAAAAGAATTGTGGCAATCATATGAGAGGTCAAGGGGAAAGCCAAGACAGACCGATTTTGCCCTTAGCTGCAGAATTACCTAATAGTGGAATGGTTTAATTCCACATTTGTTGTCAAATGAGATAATAATGTCCTTATTACTTAAACAAGTAATTGTTAGATTTTTTTTCCTGCCTTTACAGCTGAGAACATCATAGCTGGCAAAATCTTTATTTTTTTTTCTTTTTATTGAGTTTATTGGTACAATCTAGGTATACAATACAGTTAAATTCATCATTGGGATCTTGTACCTTCACATGACAGGTCTTGGTTCTCATTTTTTCCCCTTGTCCCTGCCCTCCCTTCACCCTCTCTCCCATCCCCATTTACACACTTTATTTCCTTTTTTTCATTTTCTCGTATTTTTTTCTTTTCCCTTGTTCCCTTTCCCGTATCCTTCCCACTTTCCCTACATCTTTCGCCCTTTTCTTCCTATTTCACACTATTAATTATCCCATTAGGATCTTGTGTACTATTATAGTTTTTCACACCAGAGAGACTATTTGGTATTTACCCATGTGTGACTTATTTATTTCACTTAAGAGTACATCCTCAATATGTATCCATTTTCCTATGAATGACTCTAATTTTTCGTTCTTTATGGCTGAGTAGTACTCCATTTTATATAAAAACCACATCTTCTTTATCCAGTTTCCAACAGATGGGCAAATGGGCTGTTTCCAAGTTTTAGCTATTACAAACTGTGCTGCTATAAATATAGGTGCGCATATATCACTGTGGTATGATTCTTTAAATTCTTTTGGAAAGATATCCAGCAGAGGGATAGCAGGGTCAAATGGAAGCTCTTAGTCCCAGCTCTCTGAGGTATCTCCATATTGATTTCCATAGTGGTTGCACCAGTCTGCACTGGCAAAACCTTTAATACCTAAAGTTTCCCTGATGCTTAATAAATCAAGAAAAGCCTACTGTCCTCCTAATTTTCAGTGCGCGTCCTTGAATAGCCCTGGCCTAATATTTCAGTGTCATCTGATATCACACGGTACACTTCCCAGCTACACAGGACAGACAAATACCCCGTGCTCCTTTGAAATGCGCTCCCGTAGTCTGCTTCATCCAGAATATGTTCCTTGCATATCTCAACCTTCAGTTTTTACTTTCTCCATCAAGTTCTATTGCTCATCTCAACTTCCTTGAGTTTGTCTTTGTGGTCTTGCTATGAAATGTCTCCAAGTTTGTTATAGTGTAGTCACTTGTGTTCATGTTTCAGTTGTAAAACCCTTACATGCAGAGTGAGCCTCACATATCCACACGCTCAGAAGCTTAGGCACTTAAGGCCCACTCGGTAAATGTTCGCTTAGTTAAAATAAAGCTCTACTTTGATCTGGCTTCCTGGCTGTAAGTCCTAGAAAGAGCCGAATGAATTTATTTCTTGGAAAATAGTCTAATTTTTAGTGTCAGCTTCAACTCAAGAATGGCTTTAAATGTAAAGACTCATGTGTGATACCTCCAAACCATAATGGAGCTTAACAGAAACAGAGTTCAACCTTGAACAGCAGTGCTGTTGTGAACGCCCTTCTGTTTGGGCTCTAGCAGCATTTATCGCTAATTCAACCTAACATATTCCCTTTGGCAAAACAGTATTTATGTAATGGTTTATACTTTATTCTGTTTTTACAAGTGGTACTAACTAAAATCCTTTTTGGTTTTGCAACTCTATCCTCTCCTTAAACGTACTTACTACAGAAATCTCTATACAGCAAGGAACTTCAATGTGGATCAACTCCACGTCAAGACTCATTTCGGCCACTTTGCTGTAAAATCAAAATCCGTGAACTAAATGTAGTTTTTTGAAGAACTGAGAGTTGGGCTGTGAAAGTAATTCATAGCACTAATGTTGTTACATCTAGAAAAGATTTACATGTTTATTTCTACGATTCCCCTTTGCACCTATCTTTAGCAGGATGGGTTTTTTTTTTTATTTTATTGTTTTTGTTTGTTTGTTTTTTGGTACCTGGGATTGAACTCTGGTCCTTGCGCTTGCAAGTCAGGCCACCGAATGGCTGAGTTAAATCCCCGGCCCAGCAGGATGGGGTTTTATGTCAACAATTGCTATTTTCTTTTTAAAAATTTTTAGTTTATTAGTACCTGTGTGTGGTACATAATGTCCACATTTCTTGTGGGAAGTTGGTACATGGATAGAACACATTTTAATTCCTTTTTCATCCCCTTTCCCTTCCCTTCCTCCCCTCTCCATTCATCCCTTGATGTTCTTTGAACCCCTCCCTTTTTTATTTTCGGTGCATGTTTGCCGTACATGTTTACATTTTTTTGGTGTGGAGTTGGTACATGTACACAACACATCCCCTTTCCTTTTTCATCTCTTATCTCTTCCCTCCCTCCATCTCTTATTTTCAGTGGTTAATTTTAATTAACATAGTCTTACTGAGAACTATTAACATCACTTAAAAAAGTCCAAGGGAGAATATAAACTAGCTGAGCCAAAAACTTCAATTGTTTTGCTTGCTTTTCATCTATTAAAATGTATTTTCTTTGTTACTTCTCATCCTTTTTTTCATATATTCACTTTAGATTTCCTATATTCCAGGAAAAATGTTTACTTTTTAAAACAATTAAATAAACTTTAATAAATACTTACATATGAAATAAATTTTGTCATGCCCCCTTTTCATTTTAAATTTATTGAAAGTAATAAAGGTAAGTTTTAGTTTTTTCACAAAACCTATTTAGGAATACTATTCCAGTGCATAAATATTTCATTTAGAACATCCCTTGTTGCAACTACCTTGAGCAGGATAGGCTTTTCGATCACCAATTGTTACTTTCAATGATTATTTTAAAAATCATGGCTATGCTGAAAACTACTGATTTAACATCACTTAAAAATTCCAAATGAAAATATAAGTAGCATGAAGATTTTTATAGCAAACTGAACAACGGTTAATTTCAGAGAGGAGAGTAGGAATACAACTTTTATATACTTCTTTATGGATTCATATATTACTCATGTCGTTAAAATTCAATCTTTAGGAATTTTTATAAATGGGTGGATGTGCGTGAGAACTCTGATCTATACTATTTCCACTTACACTGGTAGATGTGGAGGAAGGTTTCATTAAGCTTGTTGGTGAAGAGCGGCTCAGGGAGGTCCCGGAAGAACTGCTTCACCATATCTGCCACATCATAAGCGGACTGGTCTTCGTAGCTGACATTCTCAGGAAAGCTCTCATTCATTTGACGCAGGGTGTGGATTCGAGACTTCACTCCTGACTTGCGGAAAAGACCCACCTGAAACAAGCCACAGGGATCTATTAGCCAGTCCACCTTTTCTCCAACATCTTTACACATGTGTCCCGAGTATGTGAAGAAGCCTGGCACCGGGATTGCATGGGTTAGAACTGCATCTTAACTCACAAGTTCAGAGTTATTAGTGTAGCTAGATGAGACAGCCACCAAACGCTGGCTTCTTTTCTTGAAAGATGAAGGAAAGAATAATACCCCACATGATAGGCCCGTTGTGGGGACTAAGTAAGAAAACATATACGAATGTGCTTTGTGACTTGCAAGTCTTATCTCACTATACGTGCTACTATTTTATTCATGTATTCAACAAGCAGTCATTGCCCGCTATGTACTCTGCATTGTTATGCTAGGAATCACTCAAGTGAGCAGAGCAAATGAAATTCCCTGCCCTTCACTATTCACAGGAGATTTTGAACAAATAGGAAGTTTGGTGAACGGAGGAATCCCCAGGTAAAATAACTATTTTCAGTGGCTCTCTGGAGAAGTTCACAAGGAATGTTCGTGAAACTTATATGAACTCAATTTTCTCCATTATTCTGGTCACAAATTGAACTAGACGGGAACTGAATCAAATTTCCCCATAATGTCAATATCAAACCTAACCATTGAATTTGATTTGGTTCTTGTCCAGTTCAGTTTGTGACCAGAATCTGAGGTAGCACTGACATAAGGGACTTTTTGCTTTTCCTCTTGGAATCCTTGACACCTGTGATATATGTATGTGTCATACTATGCTTGGCACTTACTGCTTTATCTGGCTAGTTATTATGCGTATTTGCTCTCTAGTGAGAATGATTCCTGGGTGACTTTTTTTCAGACATTGTCTGATCATGCCCTCTTCATCTCTAGAATTTAGACTTTCCTCTGACAAACACAGCAATAAGGCCAAAAAGTTAAGGGCCCTGAAAGGAATGAGTGAGGCTGAGCAGACCCCTCATCACAAGAATAAAGATGCTGCCATGGTTGAATGGATTAAGTTTAGGTTCTCTGGAAGCCATCCCAACCCTGAACTTGCCTCTGTCCAAAAAAGAATTGAGCCTTCCTGGGAGCCCTGGCTTAAACTGAAAGATGATATTTGCCACTTAAAAATGCTTAGAGGGCATCAATTGCTTAAAATTTCATCTTTCAACTCTTTGTCTCCAGTTCTCTATTCTCCAGTGGCTCACAGGTTGACTCACTCCTGCAAACCAATGTGAGAATGTTCCCAAGTAGTTGGACAGGTAGGCGGGGGTCACTTGAGTTGGACATTGCTTTTCCTCCCTATACTTGGAGAAACCCAGGAGCACAGTTTTGTCATCAGCCCCACAAGCATGCCAAGTTGACATCTTGACAGAAATTCAGGATACCTTGTTGTTGCAATAAAGGAGAGCAGCTCTGATTCTTTTAAACTGTAGTAAGAGCAAGGGAAAAATTTCAAATCATCACAGAATGATTATTTTGTTTCTGCACTGGGAATTAAACCCAGAACTTTACATTGAGATACAACTTTAACCTTTAAATTGTTTTGTTTTTTTTTTTGAGACAGAGTCTTTCTAAGTCACTAAGTTGTCCAGGCTGAGCTTGTTCTTGTGATACTCCTGCCTCAGCCCAGTTTTATCCACATAAGCTGTACTGCAGAGGAATTACACATGGCTGCCTTTAATGGCCATAAAAATCAAAACTCTTAGTAATACTTGTTTTCATTCTAAAACATATCATTCTAATTCCACAGATCAGATGTTCATGCAACATATCATTTCAACTCTCAATTACTTTCGTTTTTATTCTTAGAGTTTAGAATGTCTAAAAGCCACGAAATTTTGCCATACTTAGAGTATTCTTCATGAAGAACCTAAGGAGTATGTGTCTTTCTCTATCTGGTAACTACTTCAAATTTCATCAAGGTATGAAGGAAGAAAGCATGCACTGTCTAAAGAAAAATTCATGATGTCAGATGGGTGATTCCTGCAGTGAGATCAATCTTTGATTTGTTACATCATTGAGCCGTGTAATTCTGGAAGGAGGCCCAGCACCATGACCATCACAGAGCTTTGCTCCACTGAAGTTCTCAGAGTCGCACTGCCCCGAAGGTGAACTCTTAAGTGTGACTTACAGGGCCGGGGATTTAGTTCAGTGGTTCTGCCGCCTGCCTTGCAAGCGCAAGGGCCCGAGTTCAATCCCCGGTATCAAAAAAAAAAAAAAAAAAAAAAGGACTTTG